ACACTTTAACATTTTCATGGCATGCTCTTCACTGCAGCCATGGAGGTGGCAAGGGAACAGGTGCATTTCTTTGCCCTGCTCAGGAAATCCTCAGGTAGTTTTTAAGCTGAGACAGACCTTTCCCTTGTTTTTCTGATTCAGATGATAGGACGGCTTCAGTCTGCAGCCGTAGGATTATATGCTCACCTGTCCAATCTTAAGGTTACTACTATTTCACTAATTAATGCAAATGATTTCCACAAGATTTTGCATGTGTTTGTGCCCTCACCTTCTGTTACCTTATTTTTTCTTGCACCTTTCTGCCACTTTTTTATTTCTCTCTCTGAGATCAGCCATTAACTCACTGTACTCCACTTCTCCCACCCTTGAACAAAGGGTATGCTTTCCTCCTCTCCTCATCTCCAGATCAGCCTCATATTCCCCCGGGACCAGCAGGCAGCAATGCTAGCCCATAGCCAGACAGCATTTAATCATTTATTCAGGGGCTGTAATGTCGTGTTCAACTTGGTTCTCTCACTTAGTGCATGCAGAGACAAGAGGAGCGAGTGGGGGAAAGTGAACAAGAGACACTGCATTAAGCTTGTTTTTTATTTGTTAAAAAAGTTTGAAATATCCAATAAATTTTGTTCCACTTCATGATTGTGTCCCACTTGTTGTTGATTCTTCACAAAAAATTACAGTTTTATATCTTTATGTTTGAAGCCTGAAATGTGGCAAAAGGTCGCAAAGTTCAAGGGGGCCGAATACTTTCGCAAGGCACTGTAATTAATGCAAATGATTTCCACAAGATTTTGCATGTGTTTGTGCCCTCACCTTCTGTTACCTTATTTTTTCTTGCACCTTTCTGCCACTTTTTTATTTCTCTCTCTGAGATCAGCCATTAACTCACTGTACTCCACTTCTCCCACCCTTGAACAAAGGGTATGCTTTCCTCCTCTCCTCATCTCCAGATCAGCCTCATATTCCCCCGGGACCAGCAGGCAGCAATGCTAGCCCATAGCCAGACAGCATTTAATCATTTATTCAGGGGCTGTAATGTCGTGTTCAACTTGGTTCTCTCACTTAGTGCATGCAGAGACAAGAGGAGCGAGTGGGGGAAAGTGAACAAGAGACACTGCATTAAGCTTGGATCAAGAAGCCGGTTTGTCAGCGAGTCTCTAAGGATCTCTTCTTCCTCTCTATCCAGTGTTTTGCACTGTGTTTTAAACAAGTGTAGAATGGTACAGCTTTTATTACATATTCCTGTTTTGTTGGCATCTCCTCTGGGTTCAACCAATGAGCCTTCAGAGGAACACTATATCATAGGAATGCAGTTAATTTGTCCAGAGCAGCAGAGAGCTGAAGACGGGGAATAGGAAGAGTTTATAAACTCAGCAATATTTAAATTGCGACATATTTACATTGACAGGCTGCCATATGGATTTGTCAGAATAATGTGACAGGCAGCACACTTGTATTTCTGTTGAAACAATGCTCTTATAGACAACTGTTTTCTTCTGAGACATGGTTATAGCCTAGTTTACCAACAAGTTTAAGTGTCTCCCGTCAGTTAACCACAGTGTATGTTGTTACTGTGTGTTTGTGTGCCGGCTTGCACTGTGAATAACTCCTCTTTTTCATCATTTTTTATGGAAATGTTTTCCCTGTGCATTTTTGTTGGCTTTCTAGTCCCGTTCAGATGGATGCATGTCGCTGAAACAGTAGGTAAACGGCTGTGTGTTGCACTTTAACAGAGATGGGTAAACAAACCGGACACACATAGCATTATGCAAAACCAGCCACATTGTCAAGACCATTAAAAGTCTTTTTTCTTGTAAAAGTAGACCACGACTTTTGAAAACACTTCTAATAAAGAACAAGGCCCAATCACCTTTATGTAGCTTGTCATAATAGATTTTGTTGTCTTTTTGTCCTCATTATGCAATTTGCCAACTTGATCCAACCTTACTGTACATCCATGCATCAGACAGTGTCCCCTTTGAAGTGAGTATTCTCCCCCGACCACAAGGAGAAGCATTGAGCAAATTGCTGCTTGGCACACCAAAATGAGGAGAGGATGATGACAAACTACTGGCTGGGGCTATCTTCTATTGCAACGCACACTGGCTGACAACTAAGTGAAATATAATAGCATAATAGCAAAGGTTTGACTAGAAGATTCTCAGTTGACTGACAGGTCTCTCGACTAATGACTCAACTATTCGACTATTGGGGGCAGCACACACAGAGGTTCTTCAAATATTGTATTATCCACTGGGCATGAAGTCAGGAAGGTCATCACATTTAGAAATGAAAAGATCAAGGATGTTGTTTGGAGTCAGCTAATCAGCACTGACCTTTTCGCAATACCATTAGAAGGCCCTCCCCAGTAGCTGTGCTGTGTAGCCTGAGTTGTAAAAAATATCTTTTTCTCAGCTCAGCGATGGTTGCGTGATTGAGTTTATCACTGGACGGAGTAGGTAAATAGAGAAAGTTTGCATTTGCTTGTGTTCTTGATGCATGCACCCAAAACAAGACCCCAGGTCGTTTTCCCACTAGGAACATGGAGTGGACGGAGGGTTGTGGGATTAGTGGGAAAGATCCACAACATAAAAAGTGCAGCTTTTGACTGATCAACAAGAAGGACCGGAGATCAATAAGAACTGTGTGGGGCTTTGAAGCCTGAGAGGAGTTGGCCAATCAATGGAGAACTGTTCACTTGTTAGTGTCTTCAAAGATATGAACAAAACAAGCAGTCTTCAACAAAACACAGTGGAGAACAACACAAACTTTTTCTCTTGCTCGCTCTTTGGGTTTCACTCTGTCTTTTCCTGCAGCCTTGTGCAACTGATCAAACAAAAATAGTCTGCCTGGTTCAGATGCTTTCACTGCTTTTCTACAGGAGGTACATTTGTAAATACATGACAATAATGGGGTTGGGCACTGGGGTAACTTTGTTGTTTGTCATAACTGTCACCTTTTATCTTTTGATTAAGATTAACAGAGTTAAATTTCCCCCATGCAGTTAAAGGAACAGTGATCACATTAAAAACAGTGCACATAAAAAAAAACACATGTCAGGCACTGTGAATCAAGTCCACAGTTACATCCATCTGGACTATACAACCTCCTGTTCCGCTGTTTCCTATTTTACCTCTTTAAAAGGAAAGCTCTAGTTTCCACTACACCATTCTACTCCAGCCCTTTTCCTCTTCACCCTCTGCATTACTTTTGATTTCCTCTCACTCTCTTGGCTCTGTGCTGTTTTAGTTATCCATGATTGCCTCAAATGTCTTCCTTCCCCTCTCCAGCACAAGAGCTGTAATTTTGTCACACTCATGCACAGCAGTGGGCCATGCCAGTTCGATGCACTTCTGACCACTGACTTCATATCATTTTCCATCAGTGGGAAATGCGGCGAGAAGCACAAGTTTCATACAGCTTCACGTGGGGTCAGGGGGATGGTACTCACTTTCATTCTTAGCCTATGGACACTTTATCTTTAAATCCATGGCCTCCCAATGAAATATGAATCAAAAGCAGTCCTCCAGGCTTTTTCTTGCCTTGACAGAAGCTTTAACTCACTCGGAAGTCTCCAGAGGTGAGGCATTGCCAGCTACCCTGCAATGTACAATAGTAGTATAATATTAGGGCCAAATAAATCATGACTGTCAGGACTAGAGACAAACTAGGAACACTATATCTTTATATCATACTTTTCTTGTATACTATATAAGCATTGTTAACAGTGTGTGCACTTAGAGTATAGATGCATTAATTTGAGTCCCATTTCAAACTGTGCTCTGTGGAACTTATTCTTGTTACTGTACTTTGTAAGGTGACCAGTAAGGGTTAGGGTATGCTGTATTCCCCATGTGTGGGGTTTGTAAGAATAAGTCATTTTAAATGTTTAAATGGGGCAGTGGTGTGATGGTTGGCGCTATCACTCCACAGCAAGAAGGTTCCAGATTCAAGCCCAGGCTGACCTGGGGACTTTCTGTGCGGAGTTGCATGTTCTCCCTGTGCCTGCGTGGGTTCTCTCCGGGTACTCTGGCTTCCTCTCACGGTCCAAAGATATGCAGATTGATTAGTGACTCTAAATTGTGAGTGAGTGTGTGTGATTGTTTGTCTACATGTCAGCCCTGTGATAGACTGGTGACCTGTCCAGGTTGTACCCCGTCTCTCACCCAGTGTCAGCTGGGATTGGCTCCAGACCCCCCATGACCCTATTCAGGAATAAGTGGTATAAGTAATGGACAAATGGATGGATGTTTGAATGCCACCAAATGCTCAAAAATGTTAGTTTTTAACATAATCGGGGTTCTTGTAGAATTAATCTGAATTAATCAAATATCAACCTGCTGTCTTTTGAGAATACAGTTGAAACAGTCTCTGGATATGCTGTGATGATGGGCATGATAAAGGCTCTTACTGCATCAGGACTGAGAGTTTTGCAGTTCTTGTATAAAAGTTGGATGTATTGCAGATCTCTATGACATAATAAACACATTACCTACTTGGCTAGATTGAATAGATTTGACAAAATGAATCTTTTTGTATTGTCTGTGTATACAGGAAATATTGTGCAATGGTAATGTATTTTGTAAATATTGCCATTTATAAATCACTTCTTACTGTATATTACATTTGAATTATTGTTTTGGCAGTTTTCCTTTTTTAATATCATAATCACTTTTCATTCATCTCCTTGTCTCAGTGTATTTTAGTGCTGTTGTGTTTCACACATTATTATTCACGTTTCACACTTTCCCTCCCTCCACTTGATGCGCTAGTGTCACAGTGCAAATTGCGGGTTGCATTATATTTAATACCCTTCATTTGCAATGCTCTTATTTATGCTCTGTTTTTCTCTGCTGAATTCTAATGTGATTTGTTGCTGCAGTGGCACAATTAAAGTTTCATCTTGTCATATAACTAATGGAGGATTTTTTTTCCTGGCTGTCTAACATCTGAATATGAAAATCTATGATTGTAATTTGTTTTCCCCTTTATCTGTGCAGGAGCAGAGCCCCAGTAACGCCACATCCCTAGCCATGATGCAGGAGCCACAGGAGGTGGTGGAGGAGACGGTCACCATAGAGGAGGACCCTGGCACCCCCACCTCCCATGTATCAGTTGTCACCTCTGATGACGGCACCACACGGCGCACAGAAACCAAGGTAGGATGCGATGGATAGTCAGAGTGTGTGTCTATGGTAGAGGGTGTCACTTCTCCTGAAACAAGAGTGATAGAAATGTAATGATTAAATACAGTATTAGAAACTTATTACAATTATTGTAATGATATTACAATGATATTATTGTGTTAAAATGTTAAGCCTGTAACTTTATCTGTGACCTGCGGGTAAAAGTGTTGTTCTATGTTACCTACTGGATGGAGCTAATATTCACCCTGGTGCCTACTCTCACATCTATAGGACACCTCAGAGCAGGTGTTTTTTGTGGCACAGAGATCCCAATAAGCTCTTAGTTACAAAAAACCCAGAAAGTCCCTTTGATCCAATTCAAATGGTGGTTATGGATTACTGCTTCCAAACCACACAGTACTGTATCTCCACTCCCAGACTTTGCTCCTTAAGAACCTTAAATCTCATAATCCTACAGCCCAAAGTGGTTTTATCTCCCTCTCATGGCTTTATTTATGTGATTATTGTGTTATAATGAGCCAACTCCCTTGGTGTTCTCCTAGTTTTGTGCTTCTTAAAAGTTCCTTTGTTGATTTGTCCTCTACTGTGTTCTGTTGTTTTTGGTAAGGATATGTCAACTAATGTGAAGGTGAGTGGACTTTTATACCAGTATGGCTTTTCCCACCTCACCATCATATCATATGAATGTGTGCACATACTAGCTACAGCAGCAGTGTGCAACACAGTCTGCTTTGTCACAAACCAAATAATGCTCCAGTGTATACACTAAAAGACTTCAGTATACTGCCGCCACTGCATGCTGCTTCCACCTCGTGCAATGAGATCCATTCTTAACATAACCTCTGCCAAGGGCAGGGGTTATGTTTTTGCCAGTGTTAGTTTGTTAACAGCATAACTCAAAAAGCGAAGAACAGATTTTGATGAAATCTTTTGGAGAGGTGTGATATGGCCCACAGAACAATTGATTAGATTTTGGTGCTGATCTGTATAATAATTTGGATACAGGAATATCTTAAAAGATTATTCACCATTGTGAGTGTAACGTTTTCTCGACATAATTCGATGCACGATATGGTGTGTAGGATTCAATTCAATCATGATACAATTAAAAATTCAATGACAGCAATGTATGAATAGCTGCGAAATACTTCTACTTTATTCCTCTTCTCCCCCCTATGTCTAGCATTGTTTGATTATGTAAATAACAGCCAAATATACTGACTTAATTCTGTTAGGCTTATCTTATCTTATTTACAAAAAATATGAAGTCGCTGGTGTATGGAGACCACACGATATATATCAGTAGACAAAACGACACATATTGTGACATTTCTGTATCATGATATATTGAATTTTGATATACTGCCCCATTCCTATTGGAAGGCTGCTGACTGTATGAGTATGTGAGCCCCCTTGAGCACTTTGAGCACATATGGAGACAAATCCCTGGGTTAGTGACAGCTGCCCATTCATTGTCAATGGAAGCCTAGTGCTGTCACTCAGTACATCCTGCTGTGCGAGGCATAAAGTGAAGGAGCCCGTTGAGGGATCTGTTCTCTGCTGTGACAGCTAAGTGAGAGCATGCTGGCAGAGATTTTGAACCAGGCTCAAAACTTATCATTTTTCATCTGTAAGACTGATATTATTTTACTTTATTAAGTTTTGAAATTTTTTGAGGTGACAAAGTAACCACTTAGATTGAGAATATGTGGTCAGTCTATCCAGGTAATGCCAATTTTGCTTATCAAACAGCTGCTGAACAAGCACAACACAAAGTGTTCACCACTTTGCCCGTGGTCCAATCACCAAAGTCCCCATTTTACCCCTAGCTAATATGATAATAATGATATCAGCTTCAGTTCAAATGCCAGCGGTAGGTTTTCATGGTCAAGCTGTCATATTACGAGAGTCCAAGCTATCATGGTAATGTGCTTCCAGGTGTAATGGCATTCTGTGGAAACTGAGTTGCCCTTGGTGGAGGTTGCACTCTCTGAGTGCTGTCTAGTTTAATTATTTTCCTGCAGGTTTGTTTTTTGCCAGCTTTAAATGGTAAATTGACTTTTACTTGTATAGTGATTTTCTATGCATCTAAGCACACTCACAGTGCTCAATGGTTAGCTTCTATTGCAACATTTTGCTTGGGATGCGCATGTTAACATAGGTACAGTCAGCTGCTGCTGTTGACTTCCAGAAGAGTGGAGAGCACTGTGTGAGCTCCTACCCTAGGGACTGTGAAACAGTAATTAAAAAGCCTGGTCTAATCCCTCATTAGAGAGGGCCCATTGCTCTCCAGCCTGTTTACTGTGAGGGGATTGGCCACACACACTCACTCATACTCACATGATTTTATACATTCACACATAGAACTTCTTAGGAGAACACATCATGGTAATGAGTGGCCTTGCTGCTTATGAATGGGAAGGGTGGATGCTCTTTTTAAGGGCCTACCACCGCACTGGGCGGAGGGATCAGGTGTTTTCTAAAAGTCACCATGAAGAGAAAAGCTGATTAAAGTTTAAGATGAACTTCTTTGTGGTGGCAATGGATCCAGACTCAGGGATGTGCACAGAGAACCTCCTGCTGTGTCTTTCTCACGTCCACTTGTCTTCTCCTCTCTGCATCTCCTGTCTCTGGCTCACTTTGTGATGTGTTGTTTTTCAGCCTCTTCTCCTTTTCTCTCTCATCATTTTGCAGCAACTCAAAGTTTTATTTATGTCTTTATCTGTTCTTTTGAACCACTGTCTTGCCATACTGTGTAATGCTAACGCACTCCTTTCCCTTGATGTTATCTCGCATCTGACTGTTAGAAGATGAAACACAGACGCTTCTCCCATCTTCCTGATTTGCAGGCAAAAGTTTTTCATTGGTAAACGTGTATCTAGCTGATTTAGTATCAGCGATATTATTAGTTAGAGTGCTGTGAAAGGAACAGATAAAATGGCACCAAAACAGAGAGCATATCAGTGGCTAGAGTTATGTTGTAAACTCAAATATCAGATGCACCGATTACAATTTTCTTGGCTGAATCCAATTTCCAATTTTTTTAAAAGTCTAACCTGTTGCTTCTGATTTAGGCTGATTCCGATTTTCTTTCCATCTAAGAACTGTCATTGACAGGATACACAGATATTTTTATAAGTTTTCCTTAATAAAAAATAAATTTTTTTAGTTTTTTAGTACAATTTGAAAACAACTACAAAAAACCTTTTAGTAGCATAGTAACTGCTGGTTCTATTTACGTTTTCAATCAGTTTATCTCCAAGTGAATTGGCACGGGCCCTGAATGCTGTGTGTGTGTGAGAGAGTTGAAGCACATGGACGCGCTCAATTAGATGCACGCCTGTCTTACTGTCCCAGCATGCCATGCTTTCCCTTGGCGATCATCCAGCTTGGTTTTCCTGTTGGCAGACACTCTGAATTGAACACCAGTCATGTCAGATGAAGAGCTCAGTTGAGCCAATAAAAGCAGCAGTCCTTCTCTTTCCCCTGGATATGAGCTAATGGGAGTAGAGGCAGACGACACAAACAAATAAAAGCACTTGCACTGCCCAGTGCACACTAGGGAGCCAGCCATGAGTGGGTAGAGTTAACTTCTCAATAAAATACCAAATGGTCGTTTCATCAGGTACAACTGTTGTGAGAACTGAAGTGTCACTGTTGAACAGAATGGAATAAAGAACAAAAACTTTGTTCTATTCACGGTGCATTACTTTTTTTTTTACAGACAGGATCTAGATTCAACAGGCACTTTTAAAAAATAGCTACTGGAGTGCTGTAAGAACACCCACCTCTTTCAAAGTGCATGTAGCTTCAATATGGGCAAGGCTGTGTTATTACTGTGACTCATTACATAGACTAAATGACAGGATGGATGTACAGTACATTCAGGCATAATGAAATCTTTTGCAGTTTACTGAGCGCTCCACCTGCCCATCACTCTAACTTCAAGTGACCAAAGTGGTCAAAACCATCACTTGCCACACCTACCACCCAGGGATGGATACTGACAGCTTGTTAGTAGGGTCCAGGCCTGAACCCCCACCCCGGTCTCCACCTCGACCCCGTCTGGGACAGAGCCAGGATGCCAATTCCTGTGTGTTTCTGGCTGTGTTCTCCCCTCTATCTGTCTCCCTCCTTGTTCCTCTAACATGATGTTTTAAAGAGGCCCACATTATCCACTTCGACTTCACTAGCATTGCGGAGACACTAACAAGTTCTACTTCTGTCATTTTCTCTCTTGAGATGAATCACAGGGTTGTCAGTCACTGGCTGCTTAAAAACCTGAATTACCACTTCATCCTCTCCCACTAACCGCTGGCCCCCATGTCCGTTTAAGCTCTCTATAAAGTGAATGCTGTATAGGCTGTGAAACCTCTTACAGTGCTGTAAAGTAGACAGTTTGATGCCGACTGCCTTTCCCTTCATTTTGAACAGTCTGGTACACAGATAAAGTTTGTGCCCAACTGCCTGTGGATATTTTAGACATATTTCAGTATAGCTGTGACTTTCCATGCACGCACGCACACATACATGTGCACTTAGTCAAAAACACTCTCAGCCATTTTAGGAATTCTCTTTTAGCTCTGTTTACCCCACTTCAACATATTTCAGAGGGTTCCTTTGAAAGGCTGGTCCCTCACCTCCCATCTTTTCCCCTTGGGTGACGGTTTTACGCCTTGTGAACTTGAGCATACATAACAGAGTGTTTGAAACCTGTGTGATGGCTCTCTTTGCAGCCCTTGCAAACTGCCTAAAAAAGCTGTGTTAGTACAAGGCAACTGGGCGTGTTGAAGCTGGGAAGCTGTAGTATTCACTGTACCCTCCTCTCAGCTCTAACATCCAGAGTAGAATAAAATAGAATGATAAATAAAAGGTGATAAAATTACCCAGTATGTATAAAAGCATTTGGCATTGTTCTTCTTCTGGGAGGTTGTGGCTCCCTTGTGAAGTTGTCTTTCAGGAAAATCAATAAATCATAAAAAAAAAGTGAAAATGGATGTTAATAATTGACATTTATTATGCGAGTTGAATCTTCTCATGTAGTGTATGTCATCCAGTTCTGGGCCCTGTAGTCCCCTAGAGGCCCAGATGTAGCATTAGAGCGCATGATACGAACAGCCTTGTCTGGGTTCTGCAATGGCCTGTGGTTGTGAATCAAGATGATGGAAGTGCGCTTGTTATTCCAAGGGCATACACATGCTTCAGCTATTATGAATCAAACAAATGAGCACTTTATTTTTAACTGTGCAAAACCAAGGCAGAATGGCATCAAAAACAAATGTAAATTACTCAGTAATGACTGAACATGGAAATGTACTTTAGCATTTATGAAATAGGTTTTGTTATGTAGCTCATAGTCAGGGCCAGTGAAGATTTCTGTTTGTTTTCGACCAAGTTAATGAAGATGCCACGCTGAACGACAGATGTGTGGTTTGTGCTTTTGCTCCTGGCACCCTCCACTGTGCTGAGAGATAACACTGTGTTTTGGTATTTTGATAATCTTACATACAATTGCTTGCTCCTGATTAAAATCAAAATTATTGCATTGATGGGAAAATAAAAGAAGCATATTACAATTACAACGGCTAAACCCATCAGATGTAGAAATGAGCTTTCCCCAAGAAATTCAGTCTCAATTTTCAAGTGGGAATGAACCTCTCTGCAACACCTTGTCAGGCACAACATGAATTGCTTCAGACTTGCACCCCTGCAGAAGACGATTAATTTTCATCCTCATTAATTTTGAAGATGAATTTATAGCCGCGAACAAAATAGCCAATTATCGGCCACAGCAGAATCCACTGGGCAGGAAATTGATTTCTGTATGGGTGGAGAGCCCAGGGAGGGAGCGGGTTGTTGTGTACTGTTCTCCAGTTAGGCAGCCTCACCATCAGTGGAGGAAGAGAAGTTATTTAGCTATAGGATGAAGTGAGCATGAGCGATAGATATGTGCATGTCATAGTCCTCTAGCAACAGACTGTGATGCTGCCCTGCGACCATCCCCGGGGAACATAAAGGATTTAAGGTCCACTGGAGCTGCAGCACCTTAAAATGGCTCTGTCACAGCTCAGTCCAGGAGACTCAGCCAACCGAGACAGCTACTATGCATATGTAACATTTTGAGTTTAAATTTGGCAGACAGTGTCTGTTTTATAACCAATTATTATAGCACATGTACTGAATTTACACTACCAGACAAAACTACCTGTCTCCCTTTGACTTGAATGGGACAGTTTGGCCTACCAGCCCAAATTCATTGGAGGTTTCTACCTGAGTACAGCCGGTATCTGTTTAGGTGAGTAATATTTACATTTTGGGTTGATGAACAGAAAACATCAGCATCAAGGATACTTTACCTGTATATGCTTCAAGTCTTCAAAAACACTTTTATGGCATGGTGCACTGCATCACAGTTCTCTCCAGGGTCGAAAATGGAGTAACACCCACTCCTAAAACTGATTAACACAAATGAGTGAGTTTTCCTCTGCTTTAGATTGTGTAAGGACACTGCCCTAACCAGACAGAGGAGCAAATATATTTGCTAAGTGGGCAGCATGGTTTTCTGTGTGTGTGCAGCCTGAGGATGACGTGCCCACGTGTAAGTTGGATCATAACATAGATTTGTTATGTCACGCCATGACAGCTCTATCTGTGTCCCTCTACAGGTGACTAAGATGGTGAAGACAGTGACCACGCGCACAGTGCGTCAAGTGCCCCTTGGCCCCGATGGCTTACCCCTGCCTGAGGGCTCGTCGCCACTGGGCAGCTACACTGATTCCATTGACCGACGCTTTATGAAGAATGGAGGGGACCGCTTTATCACTCCTCAAGCAACCTCCACCCTGACACGCTCCTACAACAACTCCTACAAAGATTCATATGGCGAGACACCTGAGAGCCAGTACATTCGCCACTATGGTCTGCACGACGGCTATGTTGATTTGACAGACAACTATGGTAGCCTGTCGCGTGGCGTCAACTTCCGGCCGCCTCGCTATCCCTACATTCCCAACAGCTACCGGCCGGAGAACAGTTACACACTGCCTATTCGGAAGGACGACTATGGAGCGTCGCACAGCCAGAGCGCTTCCAGCCTGAGCCATATGGCCTTGAAGATGACCGCCGAAGCATGGGCCCTGAAGAGGAGGAGCCATATGAGCTGGAGCCTGACTACTCCACTGCCAACCGACGCACCTTGCAAGGGGCCAACCGAGGTCGCACCCACCGGGAACCTCTCCGTGATGGGCCCAGGGTCAGGTGAGGATAATGCAAAAACTTGAGCGAGTTGAGGTTTGATACCTGGACTCCTAGTGTACCTCAAAGCAAAGGTATTGCACAGATATAACTGCATAACTGTTGTTGTCTTTATACATCAATTCCTGGTGTTAATTCTTAAAAACCTGACAGATTGTGTGCTGTCTGAAGGATTTGGCCTACTGGTTCTGTGGAGGTATGCAAGGTCATAAAGCTTGTTAAGATGAGAGAGAATAAAGAATACTTGTCTTAGTCTCACCATAAAAAAGACTGTATTACACAGTGTGCAAGCAAATATATGTCTCTTGTCCTTGAGCAACTTGCTTGAGAAAGGAAACGAGGAAGAAACAAGTCTTTGATTGCCATTTTCTTGCGAATGAACAGTGGACATGTGTTTGTGTCAGAGATAAAGAGGCTGGAATGAGGGAGGGATGGGAGGGTAGAATAGATGGAAGGATAGTGGGAGAAGACAGAAGGTTTTTATCAGTTATCTCTCAAAGCCCTTCCTTTTTTGAACATTTGTAGAGAGAAGTATAACATCTGGCCTTAGTGGGCAAGAAAACGCCTGTTAGCCTCTCAACAATGAGCCTAACAAAATGCGCTGTGGTCTCTTAATAGCTTCTAGGCATTTTGTTACCACCCTGATGGGTGTGCCCGGAAAAAAATGTCAGCAGGGGTTTCAAGTTGAGTTGATGGGATGTGTGCTTAAAGACTTACATTATTTTTGAGCAGAGATCTGTAGCAGATGGATATGTTCGAGCTCTGTGCCAATCAAAGGGCCCAAAGCCAGATCTAAAGGAACAAAGCTAATAAGGTTGAGAAGCAGGAAAAAGTGTGTTTCTTAGCCTGTTTGTGTTTTTCTTTATCAAGTTCAAATGTGGCTCTGAATCCAGGTAGGTTAGCCTTTTGACGCCCTCTTAATTAAACTTATGTAGGCACACATTCATGCATTTGCAGCTAAACCCCTGTAAAGAGCATATGCCTAATCAGACTTTCTGTGTTTACACACAATTGAGTTTGCTCTGACACTTATACACACTGTATGTCTCACACACACTCAGTCAAAATTCTCATCATCTGAGAATGAGTCACTCCCCCAGCCGTCTAGTGAGAGGCGCTTGCTGTGACAGGCAGTCTGTTGCCTGCCTTACATGTGCCACAGACTAACGGCCACTCAAGTGAATGGCCAAATACAGACACACTCTTGACTGACTGCTGTCTGGCTAACTGCCGGAGAAAATATATACCAAATGTTTCCTTTTCTCACCTTTCCTTCGTCTCTCCTGCACTCACATCAGCTAACATCAAAACATCAAAACATCAGTGTTTTTTTTTTTTTCAGGAATGGTGACAGTCATTCCTCCCAGAGTGCCCAGGCTCTCCTATGCACTCATACTGAGATTAGAATTCTTCCAATATGGAGCAGAAACTCCAAAGTGCTGTAATGAATCTGAGAATTAAAGCGGTTTAATTACAGATTATCATTGCATTGCATTATGTGCTGACAAAAATGGAGATGTTTAGTACTAAATCAGCTTCTCGCTCTGGCACTCATTTTGTCCCCGTTGTGGAGTCATATGTTTGCATGTAGATGGGAATGATGATGTATAATTCTTTGCTGAGGTACCTTGGATGTATGAGCGTGCCTCATTGTCTTTGATTTTAGTGGATCATGCCATCAAAACAGCTTTTTCATCTTCTTCAGCCTCTGTCCCACAAGGACTCCTGTGTATCATAAAACAATTATTGCCCATAATTCAAAATGAGCAATCAGCCCTGCTGGGGCAGTCCGTGAAAAGCTCATAAATGTGGAGATGTGTACATATGAGATGCTAAGATCTTCTGAATCTCAAATCTTTTTCAGTTTATCTCCTTTTATGGTTCCTGCCAAAGAAGAGAGACAGGCCCATCCACAACTGAAGGAGGATGAAAGAAACTGACAGAAGATGAAGGAAAAGGAGAACAGCAAGAATTTGGAAAATCCAGATGAATAAATGAGCATTGAAATTTGTGGACATGCATATACTGTATCTCATGTCTACTGTATCTGTTGATCTTCTCCTCTATTCTCTGTGTTTTGGATCAAAACAAGCACTTGCGCACACCCATAAATGAGCGCACAGACACACAGAAATAGCCCAGGCATTTAGCAGCTTGATTAACATGAGGAGAGTAATCATGCCCGGAGCATCGCGTCTGGCGGCAGAGAGCCCTTTCACGTCCTATGAATACACCCCTCCCTGTACACACAATGGCGCCAATTTAAATGCAAATCCTGACATTCCCATCACTCAGCTTCGCACTGCATCGGCCCAGATCTAAATGAGCCATGATCTGCACAACTGTACATCTCATCTGTGTGTTGAAGTGTGTATATGTGTGTGTGTGTGAGAGAGAAAATGGACAAGAAACATTGTGTGACAGATAATGAGAGAGAAAGCCTCAGAGAGAGATGCTGTGTGTGGTAGAACTGGTGGTTATGTGCGAAGGCCTTCATAACAATGATGATGCTGAGATTGTGTACTGCCCTTTCTGTCTGAGGGTTATTCCTGCCTCCTGTTGCCTTGTCATGTCCAATATCCTGCAACAATTCAAAGCTGGATGATGGTCTCTGAGTATGGCAGTGTGTGTTTTGATCTTGGTGCATGCAAGGAAGCATCTAGTAACCACCAGCATGTGCATATATGCTTGCAAATTTCCCTCTTTTTTTCCTGCGTGGTCAGTCATGCCACTCAGTGTTTTTGCAAAAACCTCAGAGCAGCAGTCGTTCTCCAAAAGATGTACTGGTATCAGGCTTTTGATCGGCCCCTCCTGCCATACTCGGGTTACAGGCCGCTTACAGAGGTTTGTGGCGCTCCAGAATGGCCCATAAATCAGGAAAATACTAAAAGAAGAATAACTAGTGGTGACAGAGCAGATGCACCCTAGTTTAGTTTAGCTGTGTTCACTTCAGTGTTTCCTTTTTTTTGTCTGGAAGAACACCTGTTTGAAAAGACATTATGGTAGACATTATGGTGAGCGTCTGTGGCTCAGGAGGTAGAGCGGGTCGTTTCCTAACCGGAGGAATAGCGGTTCGATTCCCGGCTTGTCCAGTCAACATGTTGAGGTGTCCTTGAGCAAGACACTGTACCCCCAGTTGCTCCCGGTGATGTCACCGGTGTGTGAATGTGTGTGTGTGTGTTTGGGAGTGCAAATGGGTGAATGGCCAAATAGTGTGAAAGCGCTTTGAGTGCGCTGTAAAGCATAGAAAGGCGCTATACAAATATAAAACCATAGACCATTTACATTAGACCTCCAGAGTCACAGCTGTTCTTGCCATGTGCCCGTGACACTCAGAGCTTGTCCCACAAAGTTTGCCACAACCACTCAACACTGATTCTTTGAACTTGGTTCACATTGCATTCGGTATTTAGACACAGGGCCATATTTGACTGCAGTGGTGCCTCTTTCCATCTCCATTAATCCATCTGAACAGGGGATTTAGTATCTCGTTACATTGCTCCAGCAGGAGTCCTTCTCCCAGTTCCTTTCTTATTGATTTCCCTGGCAATAAAATGCACAAAATCTTGCCATAAAAGCAAATATGTTGCTGCAAGGCTTGTGTAATAGAAAAACCAACTGAGGAATTCACAGCACTGAGGCAAGATGGCATGCAGAGCCCCCCCCCAAACCCCCCCCCT